AATTGTGCATTATGCTAATTTTGTCATGAATTATAAATTTACTTACAATTGTGTTAGAATGAACAATTTGTGAACGGTGGCCTGCGACACAAGAATTTTGTTTTCTTTTCTCTTTGGTCTCCTAATCATTACCTAATTATTATTAATTTGGATTGATTGAATAAAATTTGATTTTGTATCACAAAAAGATGAAAAATACTTATTAAAATAATTACATAATGATAACTCGTCATTAATAACAACATCTTCAACCTTTAAGGAGTAATTTAAATTTGACCGAGATAATCCCAGGCATGATTTTAATAAGTTCCCGGTTTTATTGCCATTTTTTTATGCTTGTTAAATTGATTATGAAAGTATGACATTTCTATAGTTTTACAAAGATGAGTAAATAAATTTTTATATTTAATGTATTTTAAATGATCAGAGAGAGAACGAGTTTTTATAGACTTTTTGTAAAGATTATTTTTAGTTCTAGAAGATTTTAACAATCTGGTAGTGATCCATGGCTGCTTGAAAATTTAACGTGATTTAGTAAACAGACAATATCGTGCAATAGCATTATTAAAAATAGTAATAAAGCATTCAAAGGCAGTATTAGTATCAGTAATATTTAAGAGAAAGCTCCAGTCAAAATTATGTAGAAAGCAGTTTAACTTAGATTGATTATGTGGTTTGAAGTTACGCGATAAAGTAGACTTACAAGTTGTTTTAGAAGAATTATTAAGTTGAAAGGAAGTAAAAATAGGGAAATGATCAGAAATATCAGAGCATAAAACTCTAGATTTGTGTGAATTATGATTATCAGTAAAAATGTTCTCAATAACAGAAGATGACGATGAAGTAACACGAGTAGGCAAACTTATTAATGGATTTAAATATACAAAAACATTAAATTTTTATAAGCATAACTACAGTTTATTTTAGAAAGATCAATATTAAAATCCCCTAGTATAGATACATGCTTTTTATAAGAAAAATTCAATTTTGAAAACAAATTATTCATGTCGTCAAGAAATAGCTGTAAATAAGAATTAATACAAAGACTATAATAAAATAATACATAATAAAATACAAAGACTATAATAAAATAATACATATATTTACTTAAAATTATTCAAATATATGAACATTTGTTAAAATAAATTAAAACAATAGCAAGTTAAATTTTAAAACCATTTGAAAAAACTATTTTGAAAAAAGAAACCATATTGAAAAAAAGGTATGTATAAAAAGTATAATTTGTGGCAAAGCATATATTGTATTTATATGTTTTAATATAGCTCTATGAAATATATTGTAGCGGGTTCTTAGCGGCAAGGTTGAGACGTAGGTTGAACTCCATCGGTTCCAGCCTTCTTCTGTACCAATATTGCACCACCTGTGCTTTACCCAACCGACAAACGTTGTTGTTACGTTGACAGGCAACTACTTCGTTTGCCACCCTCCAACGCAACAGATAACTACTTTGTTCGCTACCTTACGTTTGTCGTCGTTGAGCTCGTAACAACCCCGTACCGTATTTCCAGCTCTCCCGTCTAACCACTGAATAACTACCACCCACGTACCAACAAATGAAACTTCTCCCAATAATACCTTACCAACCAACAGCTACTTCACCAACCACGTTTGCGTGTCCTATTTCTCACCAACAAAAACGCCAACTCTACCAACTAAGTTTCTACAATGAAATTAACTAACTCTACCAACTAATTTTCTACAATAAAATTAACCAACTCTACCAACTAATTTCTACAATAAAATTAACCAACTCTACCAACCAATTTTCTACAATGAAATTAACCAACTCTACCAACTAGTTTTCTACAATAAAAATAACTAACTCTACCAACCAATATTCTACAATAAAATTAACCAACTCTACCAACTAATTTCTACAATAAAATAAACTTTCTTTCTGTCTGACGAGACCGGCCTTTATTTACACGACGCGCCGTCCTACCCCTCAGCAATAATATAATTAAATGATGCGGCGCTCAACATTTACTCTTGAACCGTGACATATCTCTTCCCCAACAGTTGGATATTCAACGGGGTAGAATATTCACTTCTGTGTGTGTCTGTTACTTCTCCATCCTTATCCGGCTTCTCCGCCAGCCTGGTGAGAAAGTCAGCGGCGTTCTTGTTTCCCGCGCGGTATTTGATGTGTATGTCAAACTCTTGCATGGCTAACCCCCATTTCATCAACTTTGAACTCTTAGGAACTACATCCGTTAGATACGTTAAAGGATTATGGTCTGTGTATACATGGATAGTCGACATACAGATCCAACCTCTGAACTTTTGTAATGCCCACAAGATGGCATATGCCTACTTTTCAATGGTAGCCCACCGACGCTGTGTATCCGACAGTTTCTTGCTAGCGAACGCAATGGGGCGTTCTTTTCCAAGACTATCAATTTGCACCAAGCAACATGCCACCGTGTGGTCACTAGCGTCGGTGATTAAATCAAACGGTTGGGTTTAATCGATGGTATGTAAACCTCTAACATTCTTCAGCTGATGAATTACTGTATCCAAACTACGTTGATGCTCTTGTGTCCACGTTACATTCCCATTATCTCTCCCTTTCGTCAATTCCGTTATGTTATTCAAAGTTCTGGCCAGATGCGGGATGAAATTGTGGAAGTAATTCAGAAATCCTATCAATTTTCGTACTTCCTTCTTCGTGGTTAGGGGTCGGATTTGATGTAATTTCTGCAACTTTACTGGATCCATATCAATGGTACCCGATCCCACCAAGTGTCCCAAAAATGGTATCCTGGCCTGTGCAAAACGACATTTTTCTATATCAAACGTTAGGCCAGACTGCTCCACCACCTCAAAAAAGCTTCTTAAATGCATGACATGTTCCTCCCAATTATTGGAGTATACGGCTATGTCGTCTATGTAGGCCTCTGTGAATCCTTGCACATGTCTCGTTAGTTCCTTCATGGCTCTTGTAAATGTGATACTGGCCGACTTCAAACCGAAAGGCATACGGGTAAACTCAAATAATCCAAAATTGCAAACAAAGGCGGTCAGCCATCTTGATTCCTCCTCCATGGGTATCTGCCAATAACCACTTTTAGCATCGAAGCTACTTATATATCGGGCTCGACTCACTTTCTGAAGCACATCCTGAACATCAAGTGTAGAAAAACCATCTCCCTCAGAATGTCTATCCACATATCGGTAGTCAACGGCCAACCGGACAGTGCCATTTTTCTTCATGATGCAAACAATGGGACTGGCCATTGCACTGTTTGACGGAATAATGATACCCTGCTCCAACATCATCTTTAATTGTTTCTCAACTTCCGGTTTAAGTAATTCTGGTATTTTGTATGCACGCAACCCTTGCGATCGAAACATTTCATTCACTCTGATACTATGCTGTACAGCTGAATATAATCCCACCCGAGGTTGAAATATCTTCGCATGGATTTTCACTATCTCCATCACTTGTTTCTTTTGTACATCTGATAAATGAGTTATGCTCTCTATCTGTCTTTGTACCATGTTCATCTCCTGTGTGCTCTCCGGAATGTAGATGACCGAAGTTCTCTTCACCGTTCCTTAGAATGACACAATTATTCAGAGCAACTTCCTCGATCCGTTGGTTATACCTTCGTATATGATTCACATGGACATGGTGTTTTTGTCCTTCTAATTCAACTATGTATGAATGTGGGGATTTTACTCTCACAATGGTACCAGGTCCTTGCCATTTGTTACACCATTTGTTCCTCCACATCGAGGGAGCTAGAACTATGACCATGTCCCCCAACTGAAATCTTCGACTTGTACTACGTAAGTTATAGTGATGAGCGTACCGTTGCTGTTCCTTGTCACCATGATCCTCCGCATAACCATGCGCGACCTCCAAGTTGTGTCGTAACTCTTTCAGGTATACATCAGGTTGTTTTCCTAGGTTTAGTAGCAAGCAGCGTTCTCCCACTCATGATTCTTTTAAAATCATTAAAGGATCCCTAGGCAACGTTCCATACAACATGGTGAACGGGCTAACATTAGTGGTCGCTGAAGGTTTCTCTCGAAGAGCCCACAAAACAAATGGTAACGTACGATGCCAACTCCGAGGATGATCTTGCGCCAACTTCTGGATCATACTCTTCAACGACTGGTTACATCCTTCCACCACTCCTGCCGCTTCCGGATGTTCCGGTGTATTGAATCGAGGACTACATCCCAAATTTTGAAGCAAAGCCTGCGTTATACCACTCGTGAAGTTAGTACCCCGATCGGAACTGATGACCCTTGGTATAGAGTAAGTCATAAATATCTGCAACAGCACCTCACAGGTCGCTTTGGCAGTAATGTGCCTTATCGGGTATGCCATGGGCCATCTAGTGAAGAGATCCACCACAACTGAGGCGTAATTATATCTTGGTTTGGGTCCGCTTTCCGTTGATATCATCGGCCCAATACAATCCATTACCAGATGGGAAAACGGTACCTCCTCCTTCCTGGAAATGGGAGTTATGGGAGTTCTTTCTGTTATCCTGACCGGGTTTCTCAGTTGGCATATTTGACAAAAGTGACAATATCTTCGTATCTTCTCACACATTTCCGGAAACCAAAAGCTAAGGGCCACCCTTTGTCTTGTAGACTTAGCAGTCATGTGTCCAGCAAACGGTTTATCATGTCCCATTTCCATCACTATCTGAAGCCTGGCTGCCGGCAAACACAACTGTTTCACTTTATAACCCAATACTTTTTCTTGGTGGTATAAAATGTCATCTTCGATAAAAAAATTCTTTTTTTTCATCTTCGCCCACTCCCAACGATTTTTGAGCGTCTGACATTTACGTTGTTCTTGAAGGAATTTTTCCTTTTCCAGCGTACAGCCACCTTCCACACTCTCTTCATCATCTTCATCTCTAACATTACATTTATTATTCTTCATCGTCGCATCTTCCTGACTACCATCATTATCATGAACATCCGCCTCTTCATCATCGACCAATCGGCCACCATCGCTACCAACCCTTGCTTCCCCTGACCGACTGACCAACGTTACCAGCATCATCTGCCTGATCAACATTACCAACATTACGTTCTATCTTCTCATCCTCCTCACCATCAACGTCGTGATCCTCATCACCATCAACACTGCTGGCATCCAAATTACAATTATTAATTCCACTGACTTCATCATCTTTCTCCTCATCAACCTCATGATCATCAACTATATCTACAATACCACTGCCATCTATTTTACAATTTTATTTTCATTAACTAGTTCATTCCCAACCTTATCTAACATACTGCTGCCATCTATTTTACCATTATTAATATCGTAGTTATTGTAAGCTACTTCCAATCTAACATTGATCTTCGTATTATCACCATTATTGTTGTGAGTACCTTTACTGCTAATATTGTCGTCGCTGCTATTGCTGTCGTTGCCATTGTGGGAAGTACTTTCTTTACCACTGTTGTTAGATATCAATTTACCACTGGCGTTGCTGTGGTCGTTGCTACTGTTGTGAGCTACTTCATATCGTCCAACATTACTTTTATTGTTATTACTATTATTGTTGTGAACTGTATATGCACCAGCTTTGTTAACCTCATGTGATCTAACAATGCTTTCATCATTACACTTATCATCATTTTCACTGACACGACGTTTGGCTGCATCAACACCATCACGCCTATCAGATCGTCCACACCTCTCCTGACGTGGTATCTGGAGGCTATCAGGGTTGTAGAACGTCAAGGTGCTCTCATTCCCCAACTTGATTGGTGTGATATTCTTGGTCATTTCTAGTTTCACGGCAGATACCACATACTGTTCTGCCATCTTCAACAATTCCACCACCTTGGGTGTAATAATTAACTGTTCGCTGGCATTAGGTACCACTGCACACCATACTCGTACAGCGGAGGCAATACTTTCGCCTTCATCAGGGTTATAGGCCATCATTACCCATGCACCATCTACTTCTGTCGTTGGTCCATTCCATCCCTTGATCCTCAAACGTTCCCCTCTGGGTATGTTTAACTTGTGACATAAGTCTTGAGAGATTCCACATACTTCTGCTCCACTATCTACCAATGCTGCACAGGTCGGACCAGCTTGAATTTTAACCCGAAAAATGGTCTTTTGAGGTATTTTTCAGCCTCTATGGTCCCAGGAGTAATACTTGGTTTCTTCAACTCCTTTGTGGCCTGAGACATAGCAGTGACCTGGCATTTCATGAGCTTTTTGATGGGGTTATGATTTGTTTTCTGGGTACAAAATTTAGCAAGATATCTCCGACTACCACAGTGATAACAACCTACCTTTGATATTGATCCTTTTACAACCTCTTTGTTGAGCCATTTGGGATCTGTTCCGGGACGTACAGCCGTTTGGAGTGGTTTATAGCCTGGGGCTACATTACTAAACAGTCTCATGTTCATGTTGGCCTCATATATCTCCACAACATTGGCCAGACGTTCGTGGGTTAACCATTTCTCACCTTCCTGAGCTAATACATGTTCCAACAAGATTTTGGCAACAATTCCTTCATTCGGTCCACGACTAGCAATGAAAGTGCTTGATCCAACGTTTCAACCTTCCGACTTTGTAAATAGAATCGGAGATTTCGATGTAGTCTCGATGCAAATGCAGGATATGTCTCATCATGTGCCTTCCGAGCCAAAAAGAATTCATCGCGGAGTTTCATCGAACAAAAACGACAATAACGTATGATCTGTAGTTTTATTACTTCATAATTTAGATAATCATCAGTTTTAATCTCATTTAGTACTGTCTTCATCTTCATTTCCAAATTAGCCAGTAACAGATCTGCTCGCAATTCCTCACTAACTCGATGGCTGTCAAATATTCCTTCGATCCTCTGAAAATATGCTGCAATTTCACGGGGATCCATAGGACACATTCCTAACATTGGACTGATTCTACGGCTTATACAAGCAGTATGGTCTCCTTGCTGAGCATTATTATTCTGACTCCTCAACTGTATGTCAGCTTTTCTACGTTCCCTCATATCTTCCTCCATCAACTTTAATTTCCATCTTACTTCTTCAGCTGCTGCTTCTTCTGCTCGTCTTTCAGCTCTTTCCGCTGCTTGTTCTCTGCGTCGTTCCTCCTTTTCTGCTGCTTCCATCATAATCCGAATTTGAGTTGCCTGCACGGGATCCAACGTTATCTCCTCATCACCCTCTTTCATGCCTTTGTCTTTCGACCGTAAATTGTGGGCCATCTTTACCAACTTTACCAAGTTGTGTCCGTTTTGTATCCTCGTCAATGAAAATTACTCACCGGCAATTGACAAACGCCAACTCTTACCACTGGCGCTTTCTATTCTTCCTGTTGACAGAATCCACTGCCGCTTTCTGTCCTTCTTCTTGACAGAATCCCATTTCTGACACCAAATGTAGCGGGTTCTTAGCGGCAAGGTTGAGACGTAGACACAAATCAATAAAAAATTTTATTATTTTTTTCTACAATAAAATTAACCAACTCTACCAACCAATTTTCTACAATAAAATTAACCAACTCTACCAACTAATTTCTACAATAAAATAAACTTTCTTTCTGTCTGACGAGACCGGCCTTTATTTACACGACGCGCCGTCCTACCCCTCAGCAATAATATAATTAAATGATGTGGCGATCAACATCTACCCTTGAACCGTGACATATATAATGATCTGATGAATGTTACTTATATACATATTATGGAGCCCCGGCATGTACATCTATTCTGTTGTTTGTATTATTATTATTATTATGGGCGTGCCCCATAACGGGACGCTGCCGTGTTCACAAGGTGCCTCCATTTCACATATTATTAGTAGGCACCATTGAACATCAATCCTGCTTTCAGGTACACACTGTTGCAACATATCAACCTGAAGCATCAGGTTCTTGGTCTTGTTGCTTTCAAGAGGTATTTCAAGTTTCTGGGAATCTGTTAAAATTTATTTTTCATGCCTTATCCTTTCATCATTTTTCTCCATGCTTGAACCTTCCTTACTCTGCTTTTTATTTTCCTTTATAATCTCGTTATAGTTTTATAATATTGACCTAAATGTCATTTTCTGCGCCTGTCAGGTTATAATTTTTTATGAAAACTAGAAAAAACATTTTTCATCCACTAGTCTGAAACTTGTCACATGCTACAATATTTTTAATATTTTTGCTTTTTTAAAGTAAATAATGTTGATGAAAAAACATTAAAGCGTCTAACTTTTTAAAACTTAAAAATTGAACTGAGAAATGGTTATAAAAAGAAATTGAAAATTTGAAAGCTTATTAAAGAAACGGTAGTAAAATATTATATCTGGATATGCAGATTTTTTTTAACTCATACAATTTGTTGTGGTTTCTTATGTCTTCACAATGAGCAAGAAATTATGTAAGTGATTATTGCTTGATGCAGTTAATTCTACGCCATTTATTGTTGAATGCTTATCTTTAAATATAATTTTAATAGAAATTTTATTAACATAAGCCGTTGTATATCATTGGATACAGTTGGGATGAAGTTCATTATTCGAAGATGGCTTCCTATTACAGCAGACATACTTTCTTCTTTGATGTTCATCCTCCCTTTGGCAAAGTTTATTCAACTTTTTTCGTTAATTATACTTTTTAAATTAAACCTATTTTTTATCAATACTCAACAATTAGATCGCCGATAACAAAACTCATCTCTGAAAGCATTGGCATTAGTATTTCTGGAAATATTGCCAGCAATACCAGTGCCAATACATTTTTTGTTGAAACGGTGCCACACAAAAATGTGTTTAAAAAAATTATTTTTACCAACAGTAAAGCTTTCAGTAGTTAATTTAACATAGATTGCATAAAAGTGTGTTCATAACGATAATTTTGAACCCGATGAGTCATTAACTCTTGATTCTTATCCATGCTGAAGAACCATTAGAAACGATATTATCGTAATAGTATGCACAAATACATAAAATTGAACGATATAAAAAGGGCAAATGATTGCAAGCAAAATATGTTTGTGTAGATATTGTATGTACGTGTTAGAAAGACTAAGGAAGAACAAAAATGTCTAAGACAATACAAGTCAGATGAACCTATAGATAGCTATAAAACCTATCTAACTGTATCATTTCTATATCAATGCTGGAATCCCATATTTATCAATTGAAAAAGCTCTTAACTTTTTTTGAAAGTTGTAATGCCCATTTCAAAAATATATTTAATTGATATATTGATGCCCAGAGGTAATGGTATCGGATATTGTTTTGTCTCTAAAAAATATCGGCAATATCTAGTTTGATAAAAGAATCGCCGACATCCCCAGCTACACTGAAAAAGTATTGCTGACACAATATTGGCAATATTTTCATATTGACAACTATGAATATAACTGTGTGAAATTATTGATTAAAATTTAAATAATGTTACATACTTAATATTTGAACAAAAATAAAATTTTATACGCGTTTCCTTTAGTGATTTTGGGATTAATTTATAAACCCAGTAGTGAACGTCTTATTATGTGTCTTGGTGTTGTTACCGGCTAGTCATCTTGTAACAAGTCTCGCACGAGAATCTTAAAGGTTTTTGGATGGCAAAAATTAAATTAGTCTCATTATATCATTAAAATTGTTCATTAGTCCGGAGATATGCCATCACATTAGAATGTATGAAAGCATTAAAGCCATTTTGCTGCTTGTATTAAGAAAGATATAGTGACCTCAATATAATTTATGGCTTATTTGGCTTTATAGTTGAGACTCATTTATTCCCAAAATTAATTTATATGAATGCCAGTCGTAATAATACTACATGTTATCGTGCTTATAATAAATCTTCTAAAATCTGAAGAAAGCTTATCATCACAAGATTTCGGATTTTTTCAAAATATTTTGAATAGCACATAAAATTATTTTTCAAATGATTAGTTGTTTCTTATCAGATGCTGATATGTGGACTGATTCATATGAGTGGACACAATAATAGCATCTTTAACGAAAATTCATTAGAATTCCATCCCGAGTTCCCATACTCCACACTAAGATGCGTTAGTTTCATATTCTTATCTGATATTTAATTCATTGCAATTGCAATTAATTTGGATCATTAGTTGGTAGAAAATTCTATCACAGATGAATTTATTCATAAATTTAACAATAATTGAACAGTTCAGTGCGTTGATATCCTCACTAATGATCGTCATGGTTGCGTATGATGTCTATATCGTGACGTCATCATTAAGGACATCCCTCCTTTCTGCCTGCCTCATAATCTTTGGTTGGTTGGTTGGTTGGTTGGATGATTAGTTGGTTGGCTGGCTGGTTTCATTCTGCTTCAACTACACTTTTTCCGTTAAGTTGAATATTTATTGATATATTTTAAAAACATAAATAAATGTTTACATTTAAATATATGTGAATAATATTTTAAAATATACAATGACTGTTTGTAGTATGATTTTTGTTAGAGATGCTATGCGTTACGTTACTTATTTCCTTTTCTTAAATTTTTCTTGATTGTTAAAGGATTGTTTTCCATTTCGGCAGCCCAATTTTGATACAAGTACAATTCTTAGTATTGGAAATGATTGTGTTACTTGATTGACAGATGTTTCCGTTCTGGTCATGAATCGACTCATCACTTTGGAACCTCTGCTCTACTTTTTTACAGCATTATCCATCACTTTCTTCTTACATTCCATTCCTTACAAGTGAGTAACGCTGAGCATGCTGGAATGTTTGTCACTGTGTTTAACGATGGTCAATTTTTTAATTTTATCAAAAGCAATTTTTTGAAAATTTGATTATTTGAATCTTCCAGACTTTATATACTCGTTTAATGTTTCACTAACAATGAATGTTATAAATTATTAGCACACTTCTTCACATTTTCGAGGTTTCGAGGGTTTGTGGAATAATTTTGTGATTCGAGAAATTCAATACAGACACTAAAAAGATGAATAAATCAAATTGAATGAATGGTAACTCGTTCCTTCCAGTTTCATGTTAATGTAGGGAGTCAGTTCTTAACTGTCAAACTCGTTAGCTTTACGCCAGGCCCCATCTAACAGATCAAATCAATTAGTCAATCAATCAATTAGCTCTATTTTCGCGATGTTCAACAGCGCTCCTCAATGAATTTTGCAAACAGAGGGGTCTTGAGATCCGCTCTGAACTTTGTAAGTGATGGAGAAGTAGTCAGAGATGTAAGTAGAAAGTTCCAAAGAAAAGGGCCAGAAAAAGCAAATGCGGATTTAGCAAAAGAGTATTTAACACGAGTTAAGAATAAGTGAGAACAAGAAGACGATCGTAAAACTGGGGCGTTTAGGTTCAATTAATATATCTGATAAATACTTAGGAAATAATTTAGATTGACGTGCAAATTTTAAAAATTATTCTATATTTTATAGGTAACCAGTGCAAGAGAACAAGATATGGAGATATATGAGAAAAGAAAGGGGCACTAGCAACTAGACGAACAGCAGAGTTAAAAGCTTTACTTAAAGGATAGAGTGTAGAATCAGGAAGACCATAGTAGAACGAGTTACCATAATCAATCCTAGATAACAAGAAGGAAAAGAGTGGGATCGTCAAGAAAAGGCAAAAGTTTTTTTATTTTACTTACAGGAAAGTTAGAACTTCTAGCAACACTATTATTCTGGGAAGAAAGAGACATACTAGAATCAAAGATAAAGCCTAGACTACGAAACGTAAGAAACATCAAAAGTTCATCATCATCAGATAAGCCAGACTGAACCAATCTTTATGTTATGCGATCTTATTGTTTGGCGACCTTACGCTGGCGGTCTTTTCACCGGACGCCCACTGTAATGTAGCATAATATCGGATTTGTTTATCAAAGCCGTTTCTTTGAATAAACAGGTGTCTGTGTCTCGAAGATACAAAATAGAACACTAAGATCTGCCTTACCTTTCTTAACAGTTTTTCATTTTTTGACACGTTATCTCTATCGCGGAAGCGTCCTCGGACTTCATAATTCTGACATCTTCAACTCGCTTCACAGTTTCTTCTGTCTCACATTGTTGGTAAAACGTTCTAGACTTGTTCTAAAAATATTTCTTTAAGTCATAGCATCATATTTAGTTTATTAGATATAAAACCTAATAAGAATCGGAATTCGACCGGCACTAACTGCCTTCCAAATGATTTCGTTATCTCTCTTCTACAACAGTAGTATTTGTTTTATTCCTGTTAATTGGTCATATTCCTAACTGTTGAGCCAACA